CCGCAGTAGGCCCGGCCCGGCGCTGTCAGGGGCGGCCGGCTGCTCCCGGTGCCCCGCCCGCCGGCCCCGCGCGGGCAGCCGCTCCGAGGCCCCGGGGACCCGGGCCGTGGCACCCCGGAAAGCGGCCGCGGCGCCTCCCAGGGCCCCGACCCCTCAGGCCTCGCCCCGGCCCCGGCGGCTCGCGCCTGTCAGGACGTGTGGGCCTCCCCTTACCGACGGCCGGCCGGGCCCCCCGACAGGCAGGAAGGCAGAGGACTGGCCCACGGACGCCCCTGTGCCGCTCCCGCCCCAGGCTGCCGTCCAGAGCCCTGACTCCACCATCCCCGCTCACCTCCTTCCTCCTCCTCGTCCTCCGCTCCCCGAGCGACGCTCCCCTGCCACCGCCCCCCCGCCCCTCCCCCACTCGCCCCGCCCCTCCACACACTCTGGCTCCAGTCGCCCCGCCCCGGCCCTCTTAAGCGGGCCCGAACATTCGCTAGGGAGGAGGGATGGGCGGAGCCAGAGCAAATGCAGTTGCCCAATCAGAGCGAAACAGTAGTGCCAGCTTCCCTGTCCCCGCCCTTTTCCTTCCCTCCCGCGGCAGTGCGCGGTCTCCCGCCCACTGGGCGCCGCTGGCTAGCTCCGCCACAGAGAAAGCCTCCAGCCGGGTAGAGAAACAACTCCCAGTAGGAAGTTACGGTAGAAGCCCAGGCAGCCATAATTGATAATGGCAGGAGGCGTTTCCTGTCACCCGTTTGACGTAGACTTTTCCTGCATTCTGTTCCCCGTTACCCCAGGCAACAGCAGAGCCGTCTGGAAAGGGATGCACCTGTAAGTATACTTACGGAAGGTGTGCACAGACAGTCCACACTGGACGAGTTAATTCGCGCTCGGGAACTGCAGGCGTGGTTTTCAGGTTCTTTACTGAGCCGCCTGATCACTTACCTAGAACTACACTCTAGAGCTTCAAAACTCCCTCGCGCCGGAAGTTGCGCTTGGCACTTCCTAGTAGGGTCATGGCCAGGAGGTGGGAGTAGTCGCCCCAGCCTGCGCCCCAGGGGGTGCCTCGGCTCCTAGAGCTGAAGAGTGAGGTAAGCGTCCCTGACGCCCTACAGCGGGGCCGGCCAGGCCGGATGAGCTGCAGGGAGGGAGCTCGGAGAAGACTAGTCGCTAAGGCCCAGGGCCGCTTCCGCTAGCAGAGGGTTTCTTTTCCGGCTGGTGGGGCGGTGGCCAGCCTTCCCTCCGCCCCTCTGAGGTTCCCTGTAGGGCGAGGCTGCGGGATCCACCGCCCGGCCAGGCCAGAGGGCCCACAGACCCTAGGTCTGCACAGTGGGGCACGCGACACGCCTCCACGAGTTCCTATCAAGCACGGTACTTTCACTCCCTGCCCTTTAGAAACTCTAAATTTCGTGAACCAAAAGGAACCAGTTTCCACCCCTATCAAAGAAAAAGATGACTTCCCTGAACCAACCCACAAAAGCAAAACCTTGTCTTCCCTTTTGTCCTACCTCCCCTTTCTGGGCTCTTTGTAAGCTTTGACTAGAGTTCTGGGTTAGGGTATATTGTAGTAGTTAGTCCTGAGTGTCTACAATTGTGAATATCCTTTTAAAGAAGATTTTAAAATATCTAAAATGTTTTATGTGTCCCCAAGACATTGTCTCGTGTAGTTCCTTCTGTAGGTATTTTGAGTCAAGAAGTCAATCGTTCTGATAACTACAGATCGGATTCCTAAAGCTGCAAGAAAAAGATAACAATTTTCAGGTAAATTAAAATATGCTTATACCTAGCCAATCAAAAAAATTAAAATGCAAATCTACCTATGTTCCGCAAAAAATGAAATAATCTTATTTCTCCTGAGGTTATTGTATCTGCTTTCACCTTTTGTGATTTGTGCCCAGTATTCTGTTATCCTTGGAGATGTGTAGTAAAGTCTCTCCAACAGGAACTGATTTCTTCTCACCTTATACAGCACTTCTTACACGTCTTATAATACTCACTATTTCATGTATCAGCTGCTTCTGTGGTTTTCGCTACATGACAATGTTTACGCCTGGACAAAATAATTTGTGTGGGATTCACCTGCTCTGCACATAATAGTGCTTTCGTAAAAGGTTACATTATTAGCAATATCCTTCAGTAGCAGAAATTTGAGTATAGTCCCTGGTACTCAATCCTCCTTAGGTCTACCCTCAAAGGTCTACCCTCTGAAGTCTTTACAACATAATTCCCCTCCCAAGTGGTTTTTTTGTTTGTTTGGTTGGTTGGTTGGTTGGTTGGTTTTGGTTTTTTTGTGAAAATGTGCAGACTTTACAAAGCTTAAAAAGCTAGGTGTGATGCACTTAGGGGCTGAAGCAAGAGAATCTCAAGTTCAAAGCCACAGGGATACATAGTGAGATCCTATCTCAGAACAGGAGGCTGGAAGCTAAGACGTTGTGGAGTGTCCTACCCTTTTACCTATGTTTGATAGTTGCTAAGATTCTGCTATATATACATTTCTTCCCTCTTTATATTCCTACTTTAATACTATTTGGAAATAATTTATAGGTCTGCAGTTAGGCAGACCCTAACATGAATTTCCTAAGAATTTTGAAGTAAAGAAACTGCAAAATATAGTATTATCACAACCAAGAAAAGTAGCAATTTTATAACATAAAATAGAGAATATATAAATAAAACCCTATCAAAAGTTTTGTATTGTACATGGACCTTGCCACTTTAGAACTGTCCGGATCTTCTTTCCACTCTGTGATACTGACATTTTGAAGATGTCAACCCAGAGCTATTGTTGAAAAGGAATCCCTTTTCTTATTTCATGCAAACCAGAAGTTAGACTGGAGGCTTGATTAAGTTTAATTCATTTTTGTGCATAATTGTGTAACTGTTTTTCCAGTTGAGTTCTCAAATGCAGCTCCATACACCCTTGCCTTGTGTTGCTAGTAAAGTCCATTCCACCTGTCAGGCTGAGGGTTTGGCATTTCATTTGCCTGTGTGTATAGAGTATTTAATAGTGCCCTAGGCTGGCAATATAGACTGTCTCCCTTTAATAAATGTTGCTACTTTGCCTATGCTTTAAGCTGATGCAATGAAATCTACAGCAAAGTGTACTGATGTCAGCACAGTTTCTTGAGTTTCAAGTCCTGGCACCCTGCAGACTGCTGTTGAAAGATGTATAGCTCTGTAATTCAAATATGTGAATCTTGATGTTATCTCAGCAGATACCAAGGTAACTATTGTCCATCTGGCCACAATCCAATTTAGGCAATGGTCTTTGCTCCATGAAATTCTTCTACAAGATCTCATTGGTCCTGTCGTTTCTGTGATAGCTTTCTGGTAGTAAGGATTGCCCATTAAAAATTGCAAAAGTCAAGGTTAAACTTAACCCCTTAGTTCATTAGGAACATGCTCTGCCCAGTGGATAGAGAACCGTGGCATCTAGTTTATAATCACAAGAGAAACCTCCTGCCCCACACTCACTTCATCTTAAAGGTAAAAGGAATCTCTTAGGTTAGCATAGAATGCTGTTAGCCATCATACTGAAAGTTAAAATAACATGTCTCACAGGTTGCTTTCTTTGTATAGGAGGAAGTGTGTTCCTGTATGCTTGTGAAACAATTTTAACTTAATACCAAATTCAGGAAGGCTAAAACTAGGCTTTAGAGTCAGACCTGGATTTCAGGAATATGCTCATTCAGTAGCTAAGTGTCTATGTCTGTTTAAATTTGATCAAAATTCAAGTCTTCTGTAAACGACTTAGCTTGCCTCAGCATAGAGAATGTGGTCCGAGTTTGTTGCTTGCTGTTAACTTCTAAAGCAGAGTCTAGAATACTGAGCATTAAAATATGTAGAAAGTTAATGAGTGTGTGTGTGTGTGAGAGAGAGAGAGCTCCAAGTTCAATGTCAACACATAAAAAGATTGTAATTCAGTGATTCTGGAGGGCTTTAGGGGGAAAAAAGTGTACATTTTTAATGATGACTCGAGGTGTTTATGCAGAAATTCTGAGATTTGAGGACGGGCTTTGGAAAACAATGAAAACTATCAGAATAGTTCTCTTTCCTTATGCACTGTGGAAATAGCTAACCACTTATCTCAGCCACTAATTAACTTCACAAAGGCTATGGGTTAGTATTTTTAAGACTGTCACCTAGAACTGAATTTTGAAGCCGGTTATTAAAGAGCAGTATTTTACATGAGGTGAATATGAATGTAACAGTGGAATATGCTACGGCATCACCCAGATATCCCTGAACAAACTAGACACCACACATTTTATTAGCATGAGTCTGAGTTAATTAACTAAATTGAGCATGTTGCAACACAATTATACTAGCAGATGCCAGCTAGCAATGCAGAATACAATCTTCTATGTCTCCAACTGTCTGATATCTGATGTCAGTTGGCTTCTCCACATGAACGTTATCAGTCAGTACTCCGCTGGCATATGGGCAATTGCTTGAGTAAAACTGGGTGTTACTACTGTGTATCTGCTGGAAAACACATTTTTTTCTAAATTTTCCCCTTTTTCTTATTAGCTTACATTGAACAGTCAATAGAGGACTGGGGTTGTGGCTCAGCAGTGAATGCTTGGCTAGTGTACACAAGGCCCTAAATTTAATTCCTTGCACTGCCCTATTCCTCCAAAATCTATGCTTTTGAAAATTCATCTACCATTGAACTGTAACTTTTGAATTAAAACAAAATTTTTGTTATTATTCCAACAATCCTATGCCATGCCCACTTGAAACTATACCTAACCAAACTGAATTTACTTTAAAAGAGATGACACAATATTCACAAAAGAATGTACTTAAAAGCACTTACAACAAAAAGCCTTTATATTATAGAATTCTTTCTGGTGCTTCAGTCTTTAGGATTTAACTCTTAGTGACTAGTAGGCCAGATCCAGTGGTTTGCACCAGTAATACCAGCTACTGTTGAGGATGAAGCAGGAGACCCCTTGAGGCCGGGGGTCCCAGAGCAGCCTAAGCAACTGCATCCAGATCCTATCTCAAAAAAGGGTCAGTTAGTGTACAGCTGGTGCAGTTAGACAATTTAGTGTATATCGCAGTGGCTGTACATTTTACTGCAGATCAGTGTCACATATGTTGAACAGCTGAGCTGAGAAGGGAAGTGGAGCAATGGAACAGTAAGGACTGGGGAATGTAAGAGCACAGAGTTAGACAATACTGCCAGATAATCTGCAGGTTTTCAAAACTGGTTCAAATACTTTTTAAATGTCCAGCAGACCAGAAGAAAATGAAACTCGTTTGGGACTGTAGGGCTGTAGCTTTATGATGCCTATACTTCTTACATAAAAACACTAGGACTTTGTTAAAGACAATCAAAATACCTTATACTATTACTTCTTTTCGTAAGAATCAAGTAACTTGTCATCTCTACTAGAAATTCAAGATATATTTTTAATATACAACAATCTAGCGCCCTTGATTATAGTCTTCATAGGTTTCTACTCTTCACAGATCACTTAAAACCTCTGATGTGATTTCAACCTTGAGTTATATATACTATGGTGTACATTTGCTTTATCATACATTCAAAAACACTTAGGGATTTGGCAGTGCATACTGCTTTAAATAAGCTTATAAAAAGTGTTAAATCATGTTTAAACAGATCGTGCCATCTTATAGGACATCGTATCTATAAAGATTGTAAACTTTTGGACTTGGAAAATCCCTTAATGGCAGTGTAGAACAAGTCCATCATGACATGAAAATTTAACTTAGGATAGTAACCATACTGGATTTCCAGACATGTTTTCTCTCTACTCTTTATTTGATGCTTACAGTCTTGGATAGATAATAACCATGAGGAA